GATGTACGAGGAATTCCTGAGCACAGCAATAAATTTTCAAAGGGATCTGGATGACCCCACTGCTTCTTTCCTATTAGAAAATATCCTGAAAAAGTTGATCTCTGGTCAGATTTACCTCATCAAAAAGATTTCTATTGTCTCTCTTAAATAGTGTGTTAGTTGTCGGTTCCCATATTTAGCAAAGCTCTCTGGATTTTGTTCATCTCCCCCAAAAGGTTAAGGAATGGCCCTTCATGGAACCATGGGAATGGGATAATTTTTTTTACACAGAAAGCTCTCCTGGAAGTTGAAGTTATATAAAAAATACCTCACTTCTTACTTTTCCTTAGCTCAAAGTATAAATAACCTTAAACCACAATTTTTCACTGTCCCTTCACAATATTTTCAACACTATTTTGAGAAAAAAGAAAAGGGTAAAACTCAGTTGTTCAGTTTGTTCATTGTATTGGATATATCGGATGAAAAGCTTCATGTTTCTCTATTCCAGTTTTACAAAAACTTTACTGAGATGGTTGTCAAATTCACAGAGTGAACAGAGTTTTGACAAACAAAAATTCCTAGATGCATTTAAATAACATTTTTCTCAGGCTCCCTCATTTTTCTCAGGCTTCCTTGCTTTCTCGTGCAACTTGGAAATGTGTCGAGAAAATGCATTAAAGAAATCTGGCAAACAGGGGAAAAAAATAAAATACTTCAGAAACAGAAGACTTCAGGTCATACTTTACACATAAACAGAGGGCTTGGGTGTTCCACCCCACCAATGCTCACAACACCTCCTCTGTCACATGCCATGAGCTGCCAGCAGGACCAAGGGATGGGCCCTGGGAGGAGCAGAGCTGAGGGAAGTACTGGAAATCCTTCCACCTTCTCTGACTGAGGCTGAAATCAGTTCATGAGGAGAGAGCCAAAGAGCTGAGGAAACTCCATGTCTCGGCACCCCTGGAGCCAATTTTTGGTTGGATCCAACATCACAGGCTTCTGCCAAGTCCAGTGTAAATTTATCATCAGCTCTCTTGAAACCAGTTTTATTCTTATCCCTCATTGATTGGTTGGGTTTAGCTCCCTCAGACCGAGCTACTGTCCTGAGGCAAACGGGGAAACCACTTCTCTTGGAGGATTTACCTGAGAGTAAAGCACTTTGTGGGTTGTTACAGCAAATGATGGGTTAGAGAATAAAAGAACCAGCCATTCCCATGCCATTAGTGCCCTCAGTCACTCTGCTGCATGACACTCCCACAGCTGATGCTCCTCTTTCTTTCTCATGGAAAAACTACATCCCTCAGAGCAGCATCGCTCCTGATTTCCACCAGGACAGCTGAGCTCAGGCTCTGATCCAACAGCAACTTGTTTTATAGGTGTGGGGCTGCCCAAAGTGAGCTCTGTGCTTTGCAGCACGTGCTCCTGGCAAGCTTTGGGTCACCCACACGGCTCCCGTGGTGGATGGGCACACACAGCCCACCCGGGGATGGGATCGGGATGCCCCAGGGCTGCACAGCCATGTGGGAGCACACAGGGTCTGTGTCAGTGGCAGGGCTACTGCTCCAGCCACACACCAGATGCTGGAAATCCTGGATAAATATGTAAAATCCCCTAATTCCACTGGTATAAAATTTCCAGGCAGAAAAAAGAAGGTGTGTCCAGGGAAACGGTGCAGCAGCCTGGACTTCAAGCCTTCAGTTCCAGGGATTTCAGAAAGCCCTGAATCAAAATTTCCACTAACACCATTTAAAAATATACCCTCCCCAGCCTGCAGGAACCCAAGTGAAGAGCTAGGAATTACTTGAGTCCACAGCAAGGAAAAAAAAGTCCCAGCCAGGCCCTGAAGGATCAGAACTGGTTTGGGGATCAAGGAAAGGAAAGTGATGCCATCTCTGCAGTGGTGGGATTTCCCTGCAGAGATACAATCCTGCTGGACTTTGCATCTTCCCCACACACACAGCCTCACCACCACAGTACACATTTTAACTCACTCCAGTTTCTCTCAAGTTAAACCAGAGCTGCCCTAAGTCATATTACAGTGTGTTTGACCCCGTTTTTCTTCTTTGTTTTCACTTCTCCAGATGAGGATAAAGTTCATGGAAATGCTTATGTGAACCACCTCTTCAAACAGAAATGACTAGAAATGTTCATTCATTGCACACCTTTTAGCTGCCTAGGCAAGTAATAAGTTTTTCCCCCAAGTCCAGTAAGAGGTTAGGAAACAAATTTCTCTGAGATTTTAAATTGCGATTCTTCTGCCTTCATTATTTACTGGTAGAATAAAATATAGCATCCAACTGTGAGGAAAGGAGTAAACCCTTATACTTAGCACAATCCCATTCCAAGCAAACCCCCAAGATCTGCACCACTTCTGAGTACAGCCTAATGGCTGCAAACATTATTTTAAGCGTCTCAGCACATCTCCACTGAAAAAGAAAATTAACTACTTTGTTTGAGATCTGTGAGTTTGCACTGAGCAAGCTGATGCCTCTATAAAATATGTCCCACTGCCCAAAGCCCATTGTTTGGGTACCAAAAGCTCTGAGTATTTTGGGTACCAAATGCAGCCCTGAGCCTGGGATAACTCATTTAGAGCAGGAACTGTCCATCTTTGCTGCCTTTGACTTGGTGTTTGCCTGTGTAGGTCTTGCTGGAGGTATCTGCACCACAACCCTTTGCACAGACTAGATGTCTTTCCCAGACTACACATCTTTCCCAGTGCAGCAAAGTTAACCTCAGGAAAAAGGAAAAAAGGACAGAAAATCTCTTTCACAACGTGATGCAACTTTACAATTTTGATTCATGTCATCCAGCACGAGGTTTTCTTGGCCATGGAAGTGCTGTTCCCCATTTGCCTCTTAGAGCAAAATGGAAGGAGAGCCTGTGATGCTCACAGTGTGCTGCTCACGGATTAATGCTGAGAAGAGCAACTTGTAAAATAAAAATGGGGGCTTAAAAAATAAAATAGCTTGACAAGGAAATAGTTGAGCTGCCTAAAACAGATTTATTTACACTTTTTGGCAAAGATCACATTTTAATTGGGGTTATTATTCACGTGAGCCTGGAACTATATAATATTATCCAATAATACAGAGAATCTGACACCAAAACATGTCACAGCACATATTATATTTGCATTTGCCAGGCACGGAACCCCATAAATTGCTGTCTGATAAAGGTCTGCAGTTCAATGGACAAGACTTTAAACAATTTGCAGGGGATTATGGATTTCGACATACAACATTCAGTCACGGTTATTCGTAATCAGATGGTCTAGTGGGAAAGGGAATTAAGCCTCCAAAGCAGAGCCTGGCCTGAGGCTCTGTTGAACTTGAGAACAGTGCCTTCCAAACCTGGGCCATCCTCCACGAGAGCCTGACAACCTCGGCTATTCAAACCTCCCAAGGAAGGTGAAGCTGATGGAGGTGTCTCTGAAGATAGGACACAAATCACCTCGCAGCTCCAAAGATCCAAGAGGATGTGCAATGTACTGCGTCCACGATGCCATCTGGGGACAGAGGAGATTGAGATTTTATGGCAGTTGCTCATGTTTCCCATAAAACTCAAAGCTCACACAGGGTGACTCAGGAGGAAGCAAGGGGCAATTGCAAGTTATTTCCCTGGAAACAGGGACCTGAACTGGAAAAGGATTCGGCAGCGCCACTGCAGGACCAAAAAGCAGCAACAGGGATGGAAATGCTCCTCAGGGCATCAGCCCAAATACCCAGAACTCCTGAAAGATTCAGGAAGCTCTGATACAACAGTCAGTGACACCGTGCTCCCTACCAGCACTGCAGCACACATGGGGCACAGTGGAAAATTTTCAGGCTCGTTATCAAAAAGGAGGGTTGAGTAATCCAACACTGGCGCCTAATGCTGCAGCGTGGGAGCTGATCCCAGTCAGCGTGCCCTGGGCTCTGCCACCTCCCTGCAAGAGGGATGCTCAGCCTCCCTGGGGCACCTTTTTTCCAGGTCACGGCCCAGACTCTGAGGAAAAATGTGAATGAACTCCCTATTTTTTCCTCATGCTTCATTTGGTTTAATCTAGGCTGGGTCTTGTGGACCTGGTGGCTGCCCCAAGGGGGTGGTCGTGGGGAAATGGGGACCAGCCTCACCTTGGAGAAGCACAAAGCCTTGGCAGCCAAGGCTACTTGAAAATGTCATGAAATCATGGTTCCAGGCAGGAAGACCAGCTCTGGGGCTCAAGTTGTGAGTTCAGTTATACCGACCCTCTGCTAACAGCCGTAATTAGGGGTTGTGGATCACTGCCAGGAGCACATGCAAAGAACCCAGTAAAACCCCAGTGTGTCAGGGTTTGGAATTGTGCCGTCACGGAGCATTTCAGGAAAGAATGCACTTAATGGAATGAAATGGTAGAAAAGGAATAAAAGCAGGTGTTGCTTTCACACAGGTCTCTGCACACATTGAGGGCAATAAGAAAAACAGGGATGAAAAGATGGACCAGGGTGTGCAGGTATACCTGGAAATGAGGACTAATCTACCTTAGACTGTCCTTGCCTTGGTCTGTTGTCTTGGAGCTGCTGAAAAAGCAGCAAAACATACAGCCTTGAAGATCTTGAATGTCAGCCTGGACATCAAGGTTATGCTCAGCTCTATCCAAAATTTCCACAGGATCATTATCTTTCCCCCTTCTTTCTATGGAGAGTGCTGGAAACCACTTAAAAGAGTGTGTGCTGAATGTGTGCAATAAGACCAAAGCTTTCCAAGTGAACTGAGTGCTGGCAACACAATCCAGGTTGGGAGCAGTGGGAATTGCTCTGCTCCATTTAGTAAGAGTAGAAGAGCACCACATCAGTAGTACAAACAGCCCTGCATCCCACTGCCAGGAATCTCTGCTGGCAAAGGAAGGAAAAGAAAGAGAGACTCAAAAGAAGCCATGCACATGCTTGCACCCCATGCTATGGTAATATCTGGTTCAAGATATTTTAATCTCTGGTTCAAGATATTTTAATCTCTTTCATGATTAAGAAGCATAGTACTCACAGGCTGATCTTTGTTTTCTCCTTGGGGTCTTGCTCTCTCTCTGTCTTGCAAACAAAGGGACCCATTATCTTCAGAGGGACCCTGTGAGCTCCCACACAGCACAGAGCAGAGCAAGGAGGAATTCCACGGAAGTCCACAGGTAAAAAGTCCAAAAGAGATTGAAAGTCAAGGGTGTTCAACCTCCCTCTGCACTTCTAAACACTCATCAAATCATACTGGCCAAGCTTTATAAATTTTTATCAGTTTTCTGATTTAAGCAAAGGCAAAGTTTGGTTTTCTGTCCCTCCAAAACACCAAGAGTTACACTAAGCTGCAAATTCACATGGAAGGGAAATTTTGATTTTGCACTGAATGGCAAGAGCAAAGCAAGTGTTAAACAAAAGACACTGACCTGCTTTTTCCCAGCAATAGTAAAGTCATCTCGCTTTCCTTCTGCTGTTCACATTGCCTTGTACAAGTATTTAAATCCTCTGATGTGAGAGCTGATATTGTTCACTGGGACAGCTCAAATATGGGGCATGGCAGGGGGTGGAATAAAACAACAAGAAATTAAAGTGTATCCTGAGAAATAAAAAGATGTTTCCTTTTATCATCTGAAAATAAAATTAATCTGATATAGGAGCTGCCTGGAACAACTCTTGACAGCTACCAACAACTCCTACAACAGCTAGTGCAGAGCATTTTGAAATGGGATACAGTGACATCCATTTTACTGATGGGCTCCTGAGGCAAAAAAGGCAAGAAATGACAGTCCACACACTCACCCTGGAGAGCAACTGAATCTGGGGGCTTTGCAGGTGTAAAACCACCACAGAAGATTGACACATCCTCCTCACCTTACCAGAGCTCCATGGAAGTTTTGTGGAGCAGAACTGACACCTGTGTTAACTTCTATGACATCAGTGATGGGAATGAGGCCATGTCAGTATAAATTAGTATTAGAGATGTGAGTCAAGCCTTGTAGGTAAAAGCCTTGAAATTCTTATCTCTGATCCACCTGTCAGCATGAAAAACAAAATGGTCAACAAGCATGAAATCCAGCTTCTTAGCTACTTTTGGCTGTGAATTTAGAGTAAGGAATACTATAACTATTAAATGATTAATGTAGGTCTTCCAAATAGTCATGGAGCTGGGTGCCATGAGGATTTTTTAAGACTGCTCGAGATTTTTCACTGGAATTTTAAGTTTTTGCTAACTAATGACTTAAAATTTCTGTATAATAACTCCATTATACAGAAATGGCACTAAGGAGAAGTGCACACTTCTCAGCCATCCACTTGCCTGGACAAGGGGCAGGGGTGACCTTAGTCCTGCCTGGACCAGTGTTGGTCCCTGAGGGAGGACACCCAGGAGCTTTCACATCCCTGATGCTTCCAGCCATTTGGACACTCCCCATTTGGGGCTTGCAGTGAGCCTGGGACACAGAGCTCATTTCCAAATTGGCTCCAACACCTGATTTCCTCATTGGTGCCATAACAGCCAGGCATTCCTTAGGGTGCACTATTCTTCTTCTTGTTTTTTTTAACATGATTAATTGTCCCCATTGACAGTTCTAAAGGGTTGGTTGGTTTTGGTTTTTTTCCCCTCTGATAAGACAAAAACGTTTGAATCAAACAAGCCTTGACAAATGCTGGAGATACACACTGTGCTGAAATAATGAGGGAGCTCTTTCACACAGCACCACAATATGTATGGACAAGTTGTTGCACTGGAGCAGTATGAGCTTGTCAGATCACAGTGAAACGGTGTTCATTGAAAGAACAGGTACAAGGAAGAACAGCAGAAAGTATTCTGCTGTACAAACATGCAGCCAAGCAAAACCTTTGGAAGAGCAGGACACAAGCAATACTGAACCATTTTCTTTACCATACTGCCTGGTGTCAATAATGCCGCCCACAAGAAATTGAAATATTTTCCTGCAAAAGAGAAAAGCAGTAATTAAGTCTCGTATTTAGTCAGGCCCAGATAGACAAAACAGAGAGGATCAATAGCTGCCAATGGCTGCTGCTTTGCAAACCATAAACCTGAAACAAGCAAAATAACAAACACGTTAGAATACATGGGTTTACAGCAAATGTAGACAGAAGTATACAAAGTTACATTTCCCAAATCAGTGAATTGACTTGTGTGTATTCTTAATAACGTTAATTTGCTAAAATCAGGGAAAGAAAAGCGTGACAGTCGTCCTTCCCACCTGTCATGAGCTTGAACATGTGTGTACATAACATGGGCAACCACCTTCACAAAGCACGAGGCAGCCTGACTCACTCTGTCAACAGAACTCCCCAACTTCATAATTATAAGGAGGTGCCAGTTTCATGCTAGTCAAAGTGTATTTTGAAGGGTAAATGCTTTCTGGCCTGACAGCAGACCTGCCTGAGTCACTGGCCAGGCTGTGCCCGGCTGTGCCCGTGGTGCCCACAGCTCTGCCATGGGCTGGCTGCATGACAGGAAGGAGCAATGCGCTGTGTCCAGCTGGGAGCCTCCTCTTCCACCCCTGTACCACCACAAGACTGAGCCCAGGCAGCTATACCCACCTGGTGCCCCTGGCAGTGCCCTCCCCTGTGCCCTGCCCCTGTGCACAGCCCTGGGTGGGTGTTTCAGCAGGAACAGGCTTGCAGGGAGCTCCTGCCCTCGCTGGAGGGGTTAGGGAAGGAAAGCCATGAAACGGGGCTTGCCGAGGGCACACCTTGTCTGGGGTTCACACGGGTGTTTAATGCAACAAGCAGTGTCACCACCACCCAAAGGAGAGCTGGCTGCTCTGCTGGAGGGGAGGTTGGCCACTCCATCTTGAAGGAGCTGTGTATTTGTAACCACCTGCCTCGGGAGGAGGTGCTGGCAGGAGGGATGGATTCTCCCAGAGGGAGCTCCTCTCCAGCACACTGACCACGGGCATTAGCTGCCCCTTAACCATGTGCAAGTGGTGGTTTGCAGTGAGTCCTTCCAGGCTGATTTAATTGGACCAGAGGACTCCAACACAATCTGATCCTGCCAGATTTCTGCCTCCAGGAGGAAGGTCAATGCCCTGCAGTCATGACCAGGGTGATTCTGAGTGTGAGATGGCCACTGCTGCTCTGAGCCAGGGCTCAATCTCCCCTCCCAGCCCAGCTCCCCACTGCATTTATGCAGAACACAACAATCTCAACTCCAGAGACTTGCTGGAGGACAGAGAGCATCATCCATGGGAGCTCAATATGTGACCTTGCCCTTGAGCATCTGCCTGCCCCAGCACGTCTCTCCTGTCACTGATAAGGTGCATCTGGATCCTCCTCACATGCCAGAGAAGGAGGAAGGCAAAAATCCTGCTGCTGAGACTCACAACCTAGCATTGGCACAGCAATCAGGGAGGGAAAGGTCTTGCATGGAACCAGCTGCCCCACTGCCACCGCCCAGGGCTCCCAGTCACCTGCTGGCTTTGCTCTTGTCGTTGCTGCAGGCGCTGCTGGCCAGGGGAAGATGATACTGCAACCCAACACAGAAATAATTAACGGCAGGGACACCGAGGGGAACATGCCACGATGATCAAGAGCCTGCAGCCTGAGGCAGCCCAGCGTGTCAGGGGGAGGGAGCAGCATCCCTGCGAGAGCTGCCACTCAGCGCTCTAATTTGTAGGGGCCGGGCAGCCCCCGCCGCCCGCCGTCGGAAAACAGCTCCGGGTGGGAATTTACACTGGGAGGAATTAGCAGCCAGCCTGCCCTGGGCTGGGAGGAGGCGTTTCGGGTTTCAGGGCTGCCCATGGGTGATGGGAGCTGAGTGCTGGGAAGGGGGACACGGCACCTCACAGCACCTTCCCACCGCCACCGAGCCCGTGGGCAAACTGCGGGAGGGCTCCCGAGGGAGCACTGCTGGGCAGGTGCTTCTCTAACTGCAGACACCCTGGGATTCTTCCCCCACCATCAGCTTTGACCCTAATAATCCTACAAATAGCCATTGGGGTTTAACTTCTGCTCCCGGTTAAAAAAAGATGCAAGAAAATGGAAGCCACGGCAAGATGTTATCTCTGCAGCAGCTCGGCAAGTCCTGCTGCCTAGGGAAGGGGGAAGAGTTGGTTTCTGGCTCCCTTTTCCTTGGGATGAAGGAGAGGAGCTGAGGAAGGGTCTGGAAGAAGAAAGACAAAGCAGGCTGAAAACAGAGTTTGGTCCAAGAAGCTGCAGGAGGTGGGAGAGGAGCAGCAGTGACAGCCAGGCCAGGGCATGGGGACCCGAGTGCATCCTGAAGGACACCCCACAGAGCCCTGCCCACCCAGCTTTGCCAGGAGCATGCCAGTCAGAGTCCCTCATGGCAGAACACCAGCAGGGAAGGGGCTGGAAAGATGTTTGGAGGGAAGCAGAGGACCACAGTATGGCAGCTGGGGTGGAGAGCATGAGTTGTGTTCTAAGGAGAGGATAATAGAGCCAAGTAAATATTGCTCAGCTGGGGAACAGCAAAGAGGACAGAGCAGCCTACAAGTATCTGGAGGCTGTAAACATCAAGGAGGGAGAGGAATTATCTACAGTTGTACAGGGGGCATAACTAAGAGTAATGGGATGAGATTAAGAAAGGAAGGGTTTAGGCTGAATATCAGGAAATATTTCCCAATAATGAAATGGGTCAGGCTGCTGAATAATCCTTCCAGGGAAACCACAGGAGCACAGCACTTCAGATGGTTACAACTACCCATGACTAAAGCCTGGGTTATGTGCTGCCAGGCATAATGGATAATGTAATTTCTGTCTCTGGCCTCCAAGGTTATTTCCCTTCCATCTCTACAGGAGGAATAACTTATCAAGTAATACATGCTTTGAACATGATGCTCCTTTTGTCAGAGACAAAAGAGCCTCCCAGTTCCCAGCCCTGCCAGGAGTGTCACTGCAGTCAGTGGATTAGGGATGCTCCCTGCTCCTCTGCTGGTCACACCTCTTGCCTTTAGGGCACAGTCACTTCTCCCAAATTCCAATCAAAACAAAAACAACTTGGTTTAAAAAAAAAAAAAAAAAAGAAGAAAAAAAAAGAAAGAAAGAAAGAAAGAAAGAAAGAAAGAAAGAAAGAAAGAAAGAAAGAAAGAAAGAAAGAAAGAAGGTAGAGCTGGTTTATTTTGCATTTGTTTTAAATTTGCAGTTAGATAGCATGAAATGTATACATTTAAAACAAATTGACCCAAAAGAAGTGGTGGAAAATAGGGAATGGAAGCTCACAATAAATACCTTTGTCCTTTTGCTGTCTCATTTGCCATGAGACAGATCTGGACTGGCCTCAATTCAGCATCAAACTACTCTTTCAGTCAAATCTAGGAAGCTTTTGTACTCCACAAAATCTGTACCTGTCCAGAAAACAGGATTTCCAGTCATTTTCATAGGAGAATTTCCATTCAGCCTTAATGAGGAAGAGTCAGTCACCCAAACAAGAGGAAGGCATCAGGAAAGAGCCAACCATTGAGATCTGACTCACTGCATTTACATCTGTAATTAGGGGACTGGGAATGCTCAGCAGCAGCATTAGGTGACAGAACTAGAACAGTATCACCTTCCACAGCTCTTGTGAAAAGCTTCAGGTACAATCCCTCGGCGGGGTGGCAGGGCTGGGACATGAGGGTGCAGGGGATGAAAGGATGGAAGCACATGTTTCCTGAGGACAGGAGTGCTGAACCTTCACAGTTGCACCATGTTTCTCCTGTTGATTAACAGTGGACAGCAGGAGAGCAGCACAGGTCTGAGCTCGGGCATCACACAGAGATCCCCGGGTGCTGAACATCGGGGGTGAGGCAGTCAGGGAAGAGTGGGATTTCTGAGTGTTTCAGAGCCCCAAGGCTGGGACATGGGAGGAGGAGGAGGACTAGGGAGCTATAATAAATAAACACTCTTTAACACTGGA